TTTACTTTCACTGAGATGGAGTCGTTTGATTTTAATATTATTGGACTCACCGCTGCCTGGCCCAAAAAATACATTAGCCTACAAATCAGAATCACTACAGCACACTTTGAATAAGCATACAAAATATTAAAAGCATTATGGATACATACCCATAAATTTTGCAGTTACACGTCACAATCTTCTACTAGAGCCTATATGGTTTGTGTTCTTCTGCATGGTGTAAAATGCAGAAAACAAACCAAATTGTTTGCCATTAAAAAAAGGATCAAGGAAGGTTTATGGAAACCATTTCTATCAGCTACTCACAAGCACATATTGTACTCAACATCACACAAGTTAAATTTGAATGCAGCTTTAAAACCCCAAACTATGTAAATAGGCTATGCCTGCTAAGAGCTAAAGATCATTTTGATTCACAAAAGTAGTTCCTAAACTTTTTTGGCTTAAAACAAAGCAATGTCTACTTGTGACCCCTCTTCACTACACATCTACTGGCACAACTAGCAGGAGCATCTGGACTGGGAGAAAAAGAGGACAAGTATACAAGGCCCTCCATTGAGGGGGACCACAAATACTAGAATGAATAGCCGTAGATGCGGGAAGGTCCCCATAGAGAATGCTTACAGCCAGAATTTTGTGCTATGCCTGTGACAGCTACAAACATATAGTATTTTGTTGCTGCATTTGAACAATTTTTAGAGTCCCGAATAGGAAAAATGGTCCGCTGGAAAAAAAAAGATCAGTCTGAGAAAATAAGCCTAATTTTGGGTTGCAGAAATAGTTTTTTTCTGCTTTCCTCTCTTTTATATCTCCATCTCTCGTCCCATCAGATTGGTCTCCAACAACCCCCAGACTAGGAACCACGGCATAATGGTTTATTTGCCTGCCATTTATCCTAATCAATAAATAGTCTATAAACCTACATCACGCAGATAAGTGGGCAACACTCTCTGTATTCTCAAGACTTCTCAGTGCTCTCTGTGCCAATTACCTGTACGGAAACTAGAAAAAGGGAATTTGTGTATTCTGCACTCACAGCATGGAATATGTTGCAAATGACATGAAACTCAATGAATTAATCTCATTAAATGCTTTTAAATCCAAAATTAAAAAATTAAAGGAAGACTCTATAATATGTAAATGTTTTTAAATTGTGAAAATGACTCAAAATGACTGATGAAATGTGAGCTCACTATTCTTCCGCATTATCTGTCTGTACCAATGTGTTTTATATATGCCTTGCAAAAGAGATTCTTAATCTCAATGGGACTCTTTTGTTTAAATAAAGGTTATTATAATAGGCCTATAACACACACTATGATTGCTCAGTCTCTCATCCTGAACGTTCAAATGGCTGCTGTTGTGCCAAAAAAAAGGAAGGTAATTTGAGATTATAGTGAGCTGACCAGATGGTTAGCTAATACCAAAACTAAAATGACTCAGATGTGTCTATGTAATGCAGCTAGAGCAATCAATCAATATATTCTCAATATGATGGACACATAAAGGTAAATGCCCTCACCAGCGTGTCACGTTCGTCAGGCGAAACGCCATGTGCACGGAGTGAATCCTCTGCTCAATAGACGATCTTGGACGGAAAGTGGAAAGTTGTACGTTGTGCGCAGGCGCTCCCCGGGATTAATGTCAAGGCACAAAAGTGGCGCTACACCGTTGCGAGCTCTACTCCGGTAAGCGAATTTAACTGACGGTTTTTATATTCCAGTTTTACGCGTAATTGGTCAAAGTTTTGGGAACTTGTGCGGGCTGTCAAGCGGATGTCCGGGGACTCTCCCGGGACTCACGCCGGGGCGAGAAGACACATTTAGTTAACAATAAACAGTTAATTTTAACAGATTTTCTCCCCTGCTCCGTGCGTGCTGTGGCTGCTGCCGCCTCTAGTCTACAGTATTGTTCAGTTGGCTCCCTAATGGCGGACGGCAGGCAGTGCTGTTTTCCGCTGGGGGAGGGAAGGGGGGGGGGGGGCAAATTCTATGTGGTTGTGAAAATAATGGGTTTATAGCTGGTTTTGTGTCGCGGTAATTCCCGGGAGACCCACGTAAACTCGATGCGGGTTTGCCTTTGAGCCTCGTTGTTTACCACCGCATGACACAAATGAAGACAGTTCATGTGATACGTAACGCTAGGGCGCCCCTTGCGGTGGCCGGGTATACTTGCCACTGATTGCGCCAGGGTGGACTCCGTGCAGGGTAACTTTCCAATTAAAACCCCCAGCGTCACAGGTATCATAAAAATCGGGCTTTTTATTCGGATTCCGGGTCTGTTTTGGTGGCGCAGGCATGTGCACGGCTTGAAAAAATACACACGAGGAGAAGGGGGTTGTGTAGTAAACCCACACGTTGCCAGTCGTTAGGGATTGTGTGTTTTTTGAGTGTCACATTGTGTATCCCGTGCGTCATGTGGTCACATTTTAATTTATTGGATGCGAATAAGTTCATAAGTGATCATTTTAGTGGTATTCTAACAATGGCGCAGTCCTTGTCTGCTCTCCTCCCCTCGATCCGCCGCTAATCCAATGGCTGTTTGCGCCAGGAAGGGCAGGGGTGGGAACGGAACGGAACACCCTGAACCACGTTTCTTCTAGATCCCAACTTGAAGCCAGCCTACCCCCCCTTCATTTACCTGGGTTATTTATGGAAGAGTTGCGCAGCTCAGGTAGTAGTGCTGGTTCTGTTTATTGTTCTTGTTGTGAAGTTTTGGACCTGCTCTCCTTAGCCAAGTTTGTTAAAATTGCTGCTGGGGAGGAAAAAGGATCAAAGATCAGGTCGAGTGATAGTCGCCGCGGTAACCGGGTCCCTGGACCGGATTTGGTGCTGTCGTGGACCTCGTCAAGGAGCTTCTAGCCGGTTAATAATCAAGGGCACGGACAGGGGACTTTAGCGACCCCTGAAAGCTTGGTGCAGGCGGGTCCTTCTGTGCTGATTTTTTTTTTTTTTTTTAACATTTCAGAGGAGAGCTCATCAGCTGTGTTAGGGCTCAGAATAGTCCGGGGTTAGTTTTGCAGTCAGCTGCCAGGTAACCGGAATGGACTGCATTTTAGCCCATCAGCTGGCTTGGGGGATGTTCTGGTGGCTGCGCATTACGCATCACTTCTCAGTGACATAAGCCTTATATAATAATCTCAGGCGTTTGATTTGAATATGTTATTAGTCGGTTGTTATCTGCGCAACTGGCGCAAACAGCTGCACGTCTCCTCCTCGTGAGGTGCTGGAAAAATGATGTCAACTTAGTTTCATGCGTAAACTGATGCTGGATAGGTAGAGGAGCACCTATGTAAGGTGATGATGTGGCGGGGCTGGTCTGGTGCAGCCCGTTGATTTTTAACTGCTTGTCTGCTGAGTGTTTTGTTGCACTGAGGCAGTATCACCCCAGCCCAGCCCACCCCTCTGTCCACCTGGTGTTGACGTTGGGAGCATGGTTGCATGTCAGAGCTCATTAATACTGGACCCTTGTTTCCTTCTCATCCACGTGAATGCAGGCTGGCTCATAACTCTGCATTGCAGTCTGAACTAGAGTCTAGACCAGGCTATTTTTTCCCCTCAGAGCACCACTGAGTTGCTTTGCACATAGATTCCCTCTGTTGGTGTAATATCTGGCCCAAAAGATGTGATGCATTTATTTTTTTGCAGCTCAGCTTGGCTTTGGGGAGGTGTTGCACATGGAAAAGGCTGACTTTCTCTCAATATTTTGACTTCAGTTAACCCCACTGTCACAGACAGATGTGCTATAATAACCCTAACATGTGGTCTCTATAGACATACAGTTGGGTTTTTTCTAAAATACAAGCTTCAGTTAGGTTACACAGCACCATCACTGGTTTTGGAGAATGGTTTGGTTTGAAACCCCATCTGTTGTTGAACAGTCAAGAACAACTTATTGGTCTTGAATGTCGTTCTGTTTTGGCTTGTGCTTCCTGTCACATGGTCACAGTGTGCAACTCTTCCTCTTCCAGCTTCAGTGTTTTACAGTCAAGTAGATCTTAAAAGTCATCATACATATACTGTATGCGGCCCACGGTATGTTGTCCTTCCTGAGTTTGCAGCAGTGGGGCGTCATAATGTATATGCAGTTTTTTCCTTCAAAAGTACAGACTTGGATAACTACAAGCAATTTACATTTTTCATCAATTTAACAGTTTTGAACAAAACATGCAATTTATGAAAGAATTTGTTCTACTTTAAGGCAAATACACAAAACATGTTAGCATATTGACATGTTTTAAACATGTATTTTAGCTTCTTGTGCTCTCAGTTGCCTTAAAACAAACAGTTACCTGGTAATGATGTTGAATGTTATTAGTAGACCACATTTTACGTAGTCCAAATCTTTAACTGTCCTACAACAACAATTACAACTGAAACTATCAGTTAAGGAATTTCCCTCTTTATATATTTAAATGTTTAAATATTCTAAATTTCACTTTTGTTTGTATTTTAAATGCACGGTCCTCGTCCAATATGTCTTATTGCAGTTTACTCTGGAGTGTAACCTGTAACTGTAACATCTGATAATACAATACAGAACAATAGCCTGTGTTTAATGGTTAAATGGTTTGATTTTTGGTAAGTCAGTTAAAGGTGCTGATTCAACTTAATATTTGTTTTTGAGGGTCTAGTTTTTGAAAGCTAACGTTGCCTTCTGCTTTTATATTTAAAGCATATTTTGTGTAAAATTTGTTTTCATGTCTGAAAGTTTTGTGAACCGCACATTCTGGAAAATATGGGGATATAAATAGTGCAGATCTCATTTACGTGGCTGTAGACTGCTGAGAGACTTTACATCTGGAGATACTTCCGGTCATAGAAAGATGTGTCCCAGTTTGGAACCACATCATGTTTAGTTGAGCCCTGTCATGCAGTCAGGGGTCACCTGCCAGATAGCGGAGGGCCTTTGGGACTGGTTGGGAATCAGGCATTGGGTTTAAATCAGGAAAGTTTGGGTAAAAGATCGGCTTGCTTACCAACATGCCACCCATTTGAAATAGATATGGCCAAAAATGTTATCACAATAACGTCAGTAGATATAGATCAGTCTATATATATATTTATCAGGATAATAATAAATAATGCCAAATCATTATTCTTATTTTAAAGGCAATTTTTGCTCCTGAGTAGAAGTTGAAGAATCCAGATGGTTAATTGTGATTTTAAACTTTTCGTTATGGTCAAAACAAACACTTGATGCCAACAGTGGATCACTCAACAAATCTGAGGTAGAACAAATATATATGAGTAAAATTAATTAAAACCTTTTTTCATTCCCCTTTCCTCGACAATATCTTAGTAGAAAAATTAAGTGCTGATTCGTGACTCAAATTAATTAAATCAAATATTTATTCTGACCGCCGTCATGAAGCTAACGTGGTGAAAGACCTCCAAGATATAGTAGAGGTGCTGTGATTTTTATTGCATGCATACCATGGTGCTCGGGCCAAAATGGCCGCCGTCATTTTTCAAAGTGATTTCAAGGCAGTGACCTGGCATCCTCTGTAATGTAGACTGTGCTCTGTTATAGCTTTAAAGGCTATATTCAGGTATGTTCAGGCTCTTCCTGTTCAGGGTGACGGTTGGGGTGAAGAACATAGAGTTACAAAGACCATTGTCTGCACAAGAATGTATCTGTGAGGTTGCATCTGTTTGTGTGTGTTCTGTGTGTTTATAAGTGCGTTTCTGTGCTGCAGCTGTCAGCAGTGGTGTGATGTGTGGTTTCCAGCCATCCTCATTGCTGTGACATGAAAAGGAGATTTTGACAGAAACAGATCAACATAGAGTGCAGACATCCCCAAAAGTACTTCATGTAATATTTGATCCAGAGTTTGGCTCCCAATGAGCATATTTTCTTGTATTTCTTCTCTTTTGGGTTAATAGAGAGACTTCAGAGGCCACATTTAGTAACATTTTACCAATGAAGGTTTGGCATTAAGTTTTAGTGGCATCTAGTGGTGAGTGTTGCGAATTGCACCCAGCGGCTGACCATGAATTCACATGCTCCTCGGACGAAATCAGTACTTTAAAACAAACTATTAAACAAAGTATTAACTCTAATGACAATTGTAAATTCAGCAGTGAAAAACCTAATTTTGTACATTTTCTCCATGAGGTTATATCAATTTAAGCACAAGAGCCGACATGCTCTGTCGGTAGTGACAAAACACTCTGTGTATAGCCGTTTGTCCGTTTGGGATACTGTAGAAACATGGCGACTTCCATATAAGGGGACCCCTTTGTATGTAGATAGAAATGGCTCATTCTAAGGTAATAAAAAACACAACAGTTCATTATGTAATGTCTTACACCACTGAAAACATAGTTGTGGTGGGTATAATTTTGCATTTTTGTCAATAGATTCTTTAAATATTACACACTGGACCTTTAAATGCATTTTGCCTTGAGCAATACATACATTGCAGAATAGCCATTTATTAAGACAGCATCACATAGGATGACATCTAACCATTTAAATATTGTGTTGGCCAACTCAACAGCACCCAGATGTAGAGCACAGAGTCCCCATGGTGGTGGTGGGCCTTACTGTCACCACGGCAACCAAGGTATAGCTTCACCAGTTGCCGGGGGCAACACGAGAGAAGCTGCGTGGCGAGGAGCACAGGCGCAAGCAGGGGCGGGGAACATGGGGAGGGGAGGGGCGGGAGGGATGTGAAAGACAGCAGGTGAGTGGAGTACTGGGTAGTTTGGTAAAGAGGTGCAAAGCACGGGAAGAGAGGGAAGGGAGGAGGAGCAAAGTTTCCCCCGTTGCTGAGCAGGCATGTAGCTCGTAGTTCTTGAGTCTACATTACCCCCCAATATATTTCATATCTTTTCATGTGACAACACTGAAGAAATGACACTTAATGACACGCTACAATGTAAAGTAGTGAGTGTACAGCTTGTATAACAGTGTAAATTTGCTGTTCCCTCAAAATAACACACACAGCCATTAATGTCTAAACCGCTGGCAAGAAAAGTGAGTACACCCTAAGTGAAAACAACCAAATTGGGCCCAATTATCCATTTTCCCTCCCTGTTGTCTTGTGACTTGTTAGTGTTACAAGGTCTCAGGTGTGAATGGGGAGCAGGTGTGTTAAATGTGGTGTTATCGCGCTCACACTCCCTCATACTGGTCACTGGAAGTTCAACATGGCACCTCATGGCAAAGAGCTCTCTGAGGATCTGAAACAAAGAATTGTTGCTCTACATAAAGATGGCCTAGGCTATAAGAAGATTGCCAAGACCCTGAAACTGAGCTGCAGCACTGTGGCCAAGACCATACAGCGGTTCAACAGGACAGGTTCCACTCAGTACAGGCCTCGCCATGGTCGACCAAAAAAGGTGAGTGCACATGCTCAGCGTCGCATCCAGAGGTTGTCTTTGGGTAATAGACGTATGAGTGCTGCCAGCATTGCTGCAGAGGTTGGAGGGGTGGGGGGGTGGGTCAGCCTGTCAGTGCTCAGACCATACTCCGCACACTGCATCAAATTGGTCTGCATGGCTGTCGTCCCAGAAGGAAGCATCTACGAAAGATGATGTACAAGAAAGCCGACACACAGTTTGCTGAAGACAAGCAGACTGAGGACGTAGATTACTGGAACCATGCTGTGCTCTGATGAGACCAAGGTAAATGTATTTGGTTCAGATGGTGTGAAGCGTGTGTGGCGGCAACCAGGTGAGGAGGACAAAACAAGTGTGTCTTGCGTACAGTCAAGCATGGTGGGAGTGTCATGGTCTGGGGCTGCATGAGTGCTGCTGGCACCGGGGAGCTATGAATGCCAACATGTACTGTGACATACTGAAGCAGAGCATGATCCCCTCTCTTTTGGAGACTGGGCGCAGGGCAGCATTCCGACATAACGACCCCAAACACACCTCCAGGGCGACCATTGCCTTGCTAAAGAAGCTGAGGGTAGGATGATGGACTGGCAAAGCATGTCTCCAGACCTAAACCCTATTAAGCATCTGTGGGGCATCCTCAAACGGAAGGTGGAGGAGCGCATGGTCTCTAACATCCACCAGCTCCGTCTACTCACGTTTTTTGCCAGTGGTTTAGACATTAATGGCTGTGTAATGTGTTACTTTGAGGAGACAGCAACTTCACACTGTTATACAAGCTGTACACTCACAACTTTGTAGCAAAGTGTCATTTCTTCAGTGTTGTCACATTAAAAGATAATCAAATATTTACAAAAATATGAGGGGTGTACTCAGTTTTGTGCGATACTGTATGATCAGCCATAAAGACATTTTCTAGCACGGCTTGGTATAGAACGTAAATACTTTTTTGATACAGACCAAAATACGTCTGTAGCACTGAGTACAGGAAATCGTACTGAAAGCTAACGTTGCATTCATGATCATATTCTGTAAAACGGTGTCTCAAAATGCTAGCTCCCATTAGCAGATCAAGTAGGCAATGAACAAAGATGTCACAGGGAGTCTGCTTTTTATACTTGAAGCAAACTTGTGCTGGGGTGGAGCAGTGGATAAGACACATGCCTTTTGGTGTGGAAGATTAATTTCCCACTGAGAGATTCATCAATGTGTCCCTGAGCAAGTCACTTAACCCTTAGTTGCTCCAGAGGTGTGCAACCTCTAACATGTAGCAGTTGTGACTTGCTTTGCATAAAAGCATCAGCTAAATGAGTAAATGTAAAATTAATTTAGTTTTCATGTGTCAGTGTTTGGGAACTGCATATTCTGGAAAATATGGAGAAATAAATGGTACAGATCTCGTATAGGCAGCTGAGGGACTTGCATCTTGAGATACTTCCAGTCATAGAAAGATGCGTCCCAGTTTGTCGTTGAGCCCTGTCGTAGGGTCAGGATCCTCTACATCAGCCTCGACATCTCTTGAGCCTTAGCTGCCCCCCTTTTGTGGAGTTTCTTTGTGGTAAATGCAACCAGAAAGGCTTGAGACAGAGCACAAAGCCTGCATCCTTCAACCCTGTCAAAATAATGCATGTCTGAAGCAATATTGGATCATGTGAGAATTGTCTCAGCAAAAGTATTTTAACTAAGACCGAGTGGGAAGGTATTAGAACTGAGGTTGCAGTCATTCTCAATATTTCAGAGCTGTACACTTTTTGAGGAGCTGACTAATCTGTACAGGTTGCAATACAAATGCATGAGCATGTCCCAGTAATTTAATTATTGGTTCCACCAATGATTTAATAAGAATAGTAAGAATGCTGAAGAAAGTAATTGGTGTTATTGGGTTTTATGTCTCAAAGAGTTGCACGCTGTAAACTGCTACTGTTATGTACTGTTGCTTCTCTTGCTTCTATTTTTGTAGCACCACCAGTGTTTCTGTCTTGGTAGCATGTGTGCTCATTGTAAGTCACCTTTTTAAAAAGAAACGTTTGAATGGACCTCAGTAATATAAGTGAAGTAACAGCAGAAATGGTCACATCACTGCCCCAGCATTGCTGCAGCATCCGTTTTCATCAAGTTAAATCAGGGTTCCAGCTGAATCTTGGAGGAAACGGGTCGTAGTTTAAAATGGGAAAAACTTATATATGGGACAAGCTTGGTTGAAAATTAGATGGGAGGTTTTAAAGGGTCAGTTCAACCAAATAAAAACACCTTTTTATAGTGTTTTCTAGCAATCCTAATGTATTTTTAAAAATCTTACAGACTGAACCTTTAAATATATCTACCAAAATCAGCCAATGATGACAGACACAGAAAAGGTGGTAGCTAACGATGGCAATGAGTCTGTGGGGAGCTTGCCTCTGGGGATGCCTGTGCTTCCTGTACAGGTGTCAGACATCATCAAACCAATCACTGGCTGGCTTCACATAATTGCTGCCTAACGGCCTTTTCTTTGTGTTCTGCCAGGTGGCTGCCTTAGCAATGGATGGGGAGTCAGAACCAAACCCTGCCGTAGCAGAAGAGGCAGGGGAGCGGGTGGAGCCCATGGATGCCACTCCCTCCCCCCAGCAGCAGACCACGCCCCCCTCAGAGGAGGCTGGGGAGGCAGTTTCCATGGTAACAGAAGATGGAGCCACAAAGGATGGTGGCGTAGAGGACAATGATGATGATGTGGTTCTTGTAGGGGAGGAGGCTCCTCAGCCTTCTGCCACAACCCTCTCCCAAGACACGCCCAACACAGACTGCCTAGAGCCAGCAACTGTAGACATGTCCACGGCAGTGATGTCTTCTAAGACCCCTAGTTCTCCTGCGTCTTCCAGCACATCTACAGTGGCAGCACCTCCTAAACCTCCAATCACAGAATCAGAGCCTATTGTCATTGATGATGAGGAAGACTCTGAACAGAAAGACACTTCCTCCTCCTCACCAGCGCAACCTGGATGCTCCTCAGAACCCCACTCGCCAGGTGTACTCAGCAGCACTGAGCCAGATTCAGAGATCAGGATTGCCAGTGTCACCACACTGGGCTCCAGTAGCCAGAAAGGAAGCTCCTCTGTTTCTGCAGTCAATACTCCACCACATGAAGTGGATGTCCAGGCAGACATGAACCTGATGATAACCTCTGTGAAATCACTGCAGGACGGCACGACGGCTGTCACAGCGGTGAGAATCGCCAGAATTTATTTATTTATATTCATCTAATGTTGCTTTAGTCTCTTTTAGTTTCATCTCTACTCTTTGTGTTGTTTTTTTTTTTGCTTTAAGTTAAAAATGTAGCTTTCTAATTGGTTTCAGGAAATATTGGTTCTTCTGATGTTGTCTGCTGATAGACACTGGTGAAAGCAGGTGTTCTCATTGGCATAGCAGGTTTATTCTTGGCAAAGTGGATAATGGCTGCTGAGAGCTGATATTTTATGCCAATATGTATTAATCCAAGTTGCACTGGCAGCTCCTAGTTAGATGAGGTTGGATTCATTGCAGGGACTGTACAGCATGCGACACCCTTGTGTCTTGGGTTCCTTATTTTGTTTTCTAATGTGTTGTCACTGAGGAGAAAAGCTAACCTAAGCAATTTGTCTGTTTAGGCAGGTGACGGCCAGGCAGAGGAAAATGGTCTGCAGGTCAGCAGTGCGTTCAGCCTGAATCCCGACACCCCACCTGGTCGACCAACAGCCTCTTTCAACCCAGGGCGGGGCTCAGGCCCCATGGGCCAGCTGGTACAGAATGGAGACACAGGGACGCACAACAGAGCAGGTAATTCATTTATTATGAAGAAATTTAACATGGCATGTCCTCACAGGTAAAATTAAGGGTGCTCCGATCGATTGGTCGATAATGGCTTTAACTAGTTTGATGGGTGGTTGCTAAAAAGGCCGATTGGAAAAGCCGATCAGATGATGCAGTACTCGCCAGACAAATTTTCAACGGCAGCTAAAATGGTTTCACTACGCGGTTTTCAATGCTAGCTAGCACCAAAGTCCTTTTCAGACAGGAAGCGATTGATGCGCCCAGTTAATCATTTACAATGAGAGTTGAGCAGCAATCAGACAAGCAGAGCAACAAGCAGTAGTGATCATGTGAAGTTGTCGCGGTCTTGCTCATCTTACACACACGCCACCCGTAACTGGAGTTTAATTGCACATCACGCAGAGAGAGATTGCTCCTTCAGTGTGAGTTTCCTGATGCAAAGAGAAGCGCCATGCACTCAATCAACTGACTGCCTCACTTTCTCAGTATCCGTTATAAAACAGAGCTCTTTTGCTGCGTTTCTGCCTCCCAGATTAAAACAGCGAAGCAGAAGATGTTTGTTTGAAAATGCTGCTGACCCGCTGGGCAAAAACAGAACTTTATAAAACGATGACACAGATACTCACATTTGGCTTTCTGATTCGGTCTTATCAGTCATGCAATGCAAAACACGATGCTACTGACAGAGTTTTAGTTTTGGTATTTTTATTAAAATATATGTACTGTATAAATAACACTTAACAGTTAGCCTACTGGGCGTGTCGCTGGAAGTACTTTGCGACTCCCCCCAGTCTGGTTTCAGCCGCCACCGTCTCTTTGTACTCCCGTGTTAAGCAACAATTGCAAAGAAAAATACCTGGTGTGGTTTCTCGTCTGTGTTACTTTTGTCTTTCGCCAAATGTTCTGCAATTGAGGAGTAGACCATCTGCTTAATGTTTACACCAGCTTGCGCATGCCCAGTGTGCCTGAAAGGCTACTCGATGTGTGTTTTCAGTCGTTTTAATATAGACAGAGATCAACTCTGATACGCAGCTAAAACACTGCTGTGGATGGAGATCGTATTTGTTCAAAAACTGTTTAAAAAACCTTGGTAGTGAGGATGTGGCCTCACGTTACCCCACTTCTCTCTCTACTCCTCTCATGTCAACCCTCCAGTTTGCCCTGAGATACTCCCGTATTTTTCCGTTCTCACCCAGTATCCTCCCGTTTAGTGTTTGCTACTCTCTCCTCAGGTAAAGCCGTAGGCCTATGTAAAAGATGTAGACTGTGCTTCTTGCACAAGGATTAAATAAATAAAAACAACCCACTGAAATAATATTAGGCCTATACTAGTGGTAAACTATATGAAATTATAACGAATATAGTAACTGTAAGTAATAACAATATACTAACAGTATAATATGGAAATATTCTTCATCATCATTCATACTTTTATTTATTTAAATGCCCCTTATTTTCAAATCTCACTGACCGTTATGACTCCTCTCTGTAGCCCACTCTCCCTCTCTCTACCCCCTAAAGCCATCAGAACCTGCCTGAGCTTTCCAGAAAAAAAAGCGGCTACTTCATAGTTTATCATCGACTCATGATGCCTGTGCTCCATAATCTCCTAAATATTTTGGCTACAGCCTTTTTTGTTTATGTTTATTTTTGTTTTAGTAGTTTATTCCTGGCAATAAAATAAACAGTTGTCATTTCATGATACTTTATCATCTGTTAATTTTAATACTTAATCCATAGTTTTTAGGGCTAATTAAATAAATGTATATTGTATAATGCTACATGATAAATAAAAGGCTTCAAATAGACCCAGTGATCGATGATCGGCTCAAAAATACTGATTGGAGCACCTGTAGGTAAAATGTTTGACCAAAATGAAAGCCACATTTGGTTTTGGTCCCTGCAGTCCGCAAGCAGAGCTAAAAAAAAATAAATGAGTGCCTTGTTTGCTTACACCTCCATTTCGCTGTCACCTGAAACTAGTTAACACGATCATGTGAGTGGTAGCAGGCCACATGTTTACTTATATATATTTTTGTTTTCGCAACCTACATGTTAACATAAACCCTGGATACATTCAGCTAAGTGGGGGGAAATACGTACCAGTACCTTTCTCCATGTAAAATCGATTATCAAAAGTTTGATGCAGGTAGTGTTGTGTTGTAGATGAAGGTGCTTAAAGAGTGCTGGTCATTGAACATGCTCATGTTTTAGTGAACTGAACGCAGCAGTTTATGAACGTGAAGTCACACACTGTTGAGCTAAACTCAGTAAATAACTAAAATAATAGAAAGGAGAATGCATTATGAAGAAATTCATGGAAATGGCCCTTCTTTTACACCAAGCAGAGCGGATGTTCACATCCAGAGGAAAAACAGTAGGGGAAGGTAGAGAGGAAGGTGTGGTTCAGTGCTTTATGAATAATAGGACAGCATCTTGAGAAATCATGAAATAAAATGCCAGACACAGAGTTTTTCCTCAACTCCTGTCATACCTGTTTTTTAACATTACAACACTGACCTGTGAGTGATTCCGTCCAACAAAATCTACAGCATTACAGACTAATAGTGTGCATACAGGGCTTTAATAGTCCCCACGTAAGTCGTCAGGCACTTTCTGATTTCACAGTGGGACAGTCCTGAGTCTTCACAGATTTTGGCATTTAAGTCTGTGTACTGATAAGGTGGGATGTTGGGACTGGGCCTGAGACAGTTTTATATTCCTGTCTGGCTGCACATGGACTCCAGATGGTGCTATAGACTGCAGACAGTGGTACTGTTTTCTAAAACTGTCTTCTGGAGTTTTTATTTTGGGTCCATCATTGTTTCATGTTTACAGTTTAAGCCAGTAAATCAAAAATGCATTTTAACTAGCTTCCATTTCCATTTTGCACAGCATCTTATCCGGTTTTACAGGCACAAAAACAACAAACCAACAATTTGGCTGGAGATGCAATACGTTTAAGGGTAGATGGATTTGTAGTGTTAACTGCAAGTGCAATGTTTATTTTTTTCCTCGTTGTCAGTTTTACCAAGATTAAAAAACAGCTGTAAAAATGTATATTTAAATCATCTGGTTGGTCAAGATGCTCTGTTATGGGCTGCCCCTGTAGCCTAATGGTTAAGGTGCCTACCCCATACCCTGATATCTGAGTCGATTTCAGCCAAAGACCCCTGTCCTTCTTGTGTGCCCCTCTACCACCATCTGGCGGAGCGGGTTGCCCGTTAATCGGAAAGGTCGGCGGTTCAATCCCCAGCTCCTCCAGGCTGCATGTCGAAGTGTCCTTGGGCAAGATACTGAACCCCGAATTGCCCCTGGTGGCTGTTCCGCCAGTGTGTGAATGTTAGTTTCTGATTGAGCACTTAGGCTCAGTGAATGTGAGTGAATGCAGATGTAGTGTAAAAGCGCTTTGAGTGGTCAAAGAGTAGAAAGGTGCTATACAAATACAGAGCATTTACAAAATGTTAGTATGAAAGGAATGCAGGGAAGGTAGACATGTCCAGACCTCTGAAGTTAAGAAGCACATGGCTGTTTAATGCGTAAAATATAAAAAGAATCAATTAAATAACCAGTATGTGGACACCCATACTTGAAATCAATATTTTTGAAGGGCTCATTCCACACTTCTGGGATAACTTTCCACAAGGAACCTGGCTGCAGGGATTTGCATTCTGCCACTGATGTTGGGCGACAAGGCCTGGCTTGTAGTTTGTGTTTCAGTTTTACTGTAGAATTAGAATATCTGTTAACTGAAAATAAGAGGCCCAGTCCAAATCATGCAGACCTAGACCCTTAGTACACAAAGAAATTTGCACAGAGTTGTCCACACATATATGACACATGGTGTCATTGGAATAGTGAGACCAATTTTAAGAATTGAATACGTGAGACAACATGGTGGCATTTTTAGGGAGCTTGCTGTTCAAATGTTAAAGAACGGCACCAAGAGTCAGTGCTTAGTGCTTGATTGGTTGATCTTACAGTAATGACATTCCGTCTTTAATTAGTAATCAGTATTTGCTCAGCTGAATATGGGGGGGAAAAAAAGATGGCCATAAACACCCTCATTATCAATATTAACATGTTTTTGTTTCCCCCTCAGCTTCTAATGTTGTGTAAAAGTCACAAATGTTGTCCCAAACTGTTATTTTACCCCTGGCAAATAATAAATAAATCTCTGTTTGGACAGCCAGTCCAACCTGAAGGCAATTCCAAAATGAGGAAAATGGTTAAAGGGGAGAATTGGGACATGGTTAGTCTCTTGCTCTGACAAACTGAATCCTCCTGATACATTTACTGTTTTTCAACTCAGGAAAACAAGGATGGAGACAACTGTTGACTTTGTTTCTTCCTTTCCCTCCAGACTCGTGGATCTCCCAGTCAGCTTCAGTCCCCCGCAACCAAAAGCAGACAGGGGTCGACTCTCCATCACCAGCCACCTCCCTGCCCAAACCTCCAGGCCAGTCTTCCTCATCTACTTCCTCCTCAGGCTCCCAGCCACAGCCCAGGACAGTCAAGGTGATCAACGCTGTTCATTGGTTTTATTAGTTGTAGTTAATTATGTACAGGGGGACATTTACATGGCAGACAAACTGGAAATTGTATTTAATGTTTTTACAAATTAAGAGTTAGAGATTCAGTTGTCCATGCAACATTTGTATCTGTGTTTTTATATTTCCATGTGAAAGTAATGGAATCCTATGATGCAGTTGGAACAACCTTATCTGTATATTCTGTACATTAATGTACACAACCAGTTACCACGGAATTTCCTCTGCAGTAACTTTACAGATGCCACATGGGTTAATCAGTATAAATGTAACTGGAAATTTTACTTTGAAACAACAAGTGGGATTTAACACATAATTTCCTGCATTGATGACCATGTTTATTTCTCAGGCTTACACACATACATACCTACTTTACTGATCTATCCATCCATCCCCTGGGGAACATCTGCATGTCATAACGGCAGTACACGAACAAACCACACAGTACAGAATAATGCAAAAACAGATGTCAAATACAATTACTGACATGAATGTTAAAGTTCTTGCATACAGTTATGTTAATTGCTGTAAAGTGCTCACTTTCTTACCCAAGAAACAATATTTTGCTGTTTTGTTGTACTGTTTAACTGTATTTTGAGGGGCTACAACAGCAGTTTGTGTAATCTGGGATTGCGCCTTTTTCTTTGAATGCCCCTTTTTTGTCTTATGTGTTTTGATTCAATTGAATGGTAGCTGGTTTTATTTATTTCTTTTCTTTTGGAAGAAGGTGTAAAAAATGTATACACAGTCTCGTTGGATCCAAGGGTGAGAAAGTTTTACAAGACCAGCAAGTATCTGCTGGTGTTGTACAGAAGGATACTAGCTCTCCGGGCAGCCAATAGTGAGGTGAAATAAATTATTGCTCTTGTAAAACTGCTCTGGAGTTAAGTCATTGTGTGTGTCTGTGTGTATGTGTGTGTGTTCATCCCAGGTGACCTGTGCAAACTGTAAAAAGCCCCTGAAGAAAGGCCAAACAGCTTACCAACGTAAAGGCTCCACACACCTGTTCTGCTCCACCACCTGTCTCTCTGCCTTCTCACACAAACCCGCCCCCAAGAAGAGCTGCACCATGTGCAAAAAGTGAGTCACAACCTGTAACTGCTGGAAACCCAATGAACAATAGGAGACATTATATTATTTCAGTGTAGGATTGAACATGCATTTTACTGCTGTAGATGTTTACAGTTACACTAATTTGAACTTGTTTACATACTGTTGGTTAGTTTAATCAACAGCAATGCATCATTTTCTATTAGATCATCATAGGCTTGTAGCATCCCTGTCCTGTGATCACCTGGTAAAGTTTTTATGAGCTCAGAAAAACAGACCTGTTTTCAGCTTTTAAAAGTAGAAGTTTCTCAACCCCTAAATAGGGCTAAACAATTAATTGAAATGGCAATATGGCCAAGTCCAATATCCAAATCGCAGAAGCTGCAATTATTTGATGAAGGTAAAATGTGTAAAAACAGCATTATACTGAAGTACTATAGTGCTGCAGAGATCCCAGTACCTACAGATCTTGTTCCCCAGATGTAAGAAAACATGTTTGTTTGGTACAGCCACCAACCAATGTACTTCATCATTTTAATAGTTTTTTCAGTAAAAATTAATATTGTGATGGGAAAATGATCAGTTCCACTCATCTTGAATCATATTGCAAATCGTAATATCTGTCAAAATAATTGCAATATAATATTTTTTACTGTATTGTGCAGCCCTACCCATAAAAGAATACCTAATCCTCCAGTTTATGTGAAAGTTAAAATTCTAAATTACAACATTTAGAGATACATGGTAAATTTCACTGGACGGAAGCGTATGGAAAAATTGTAATCTGAAAAGTAACTAGTAACTAAAGCTGTCAGACAGATGTAATGATTAGAAGTGTTGCATAAAGAATAAATACTCATGTACAAATACCTCAAATTTGTACTTTACAGTACTTGAGTAAATGCATTTAGTTACATGCCTCCCCTGCTTATCTGTCTTAACGCCTATCTTTGCATGTCCTAAACACAGTATTTAAACACAAGGACAGCTTTTTTTTAAAGTGATGTTCACTTTCTGTAGATGTTAACTTATCTGTGCTCTGTGATGTGTTTTTCAGGGACATCACAAACATGAAGGGTACCATCGTGGCCCAGGTCGACTCCAGCGAGTCTTTTCAGGAGTTCTGCAGCACAGGCTGCCTAGGTGCATACGAGAACAAGCAAAACCCGCCCAAATCAAGCCTCAAAACCAAATGTACTGTCTGCGGCAAGCTCACCGAGGTCAGACTGTCTGACACACTTAGCAACACACATTACTCTATTGTCCGTTTCATATGCCATTTTTAACCTGAGCAACATACATGCGAATATATTCCTGACAGCAGAATGAATAATTGAGTAGCACTATGTAAAACGGTAAAGGCAAGAGTGGATGGAAATGAGTCTGGGGCCTTCATGGGCATTCACTAGTACACTGATTTACCAGTGTTTTAGTTACACCTATCCAGTGAAAACACCAATTCATGGTTTCCACACCTTGATAGCCTTGATAGTTCTCTGCTAAGCAGTCGAACACATGGTTTTCTTTTTTCAATTTTTTTTCAAATAAAATAGCTCCTCTTCTTGCTGTCAGGAAGAGTCTGTGTGTCGTGTGTGTATGCAGACCCCTGATTGCAGTATGTATAGAAGCAAGTCTGCAGCGGTCTACTTCCACTTCTGCACTGAAGTATAATCAAGGCTTAATGCAATCTGGAGGTATCTCTAATACTCTGACTCCCTCTGGGTGGACAAAACATTACAATGTAATGCAGTCCAATACAAAGAGAGCCTCAGGCTGTGATCGGGAGTAAATCAGTGGATGATCGGCAGTCACCAGTCGTTATGTGTGAACTACACAACAACGCATCAAAACGGCTCCCCAACACATTTCTATCACATCACAGTCACCAGCCAGATATGTAGCATACCAAATATCTGGAGGAGTCCGCCAACTCGACGTCCACATCCAGCCACTGAGAGCAGGCAGCTGGCAGAGCAGGCAGCTACTTTTTCACTGTAAAACACTTTTTTACTTACCTCCAGCTCTCTCTGTAGCTCAGACAGTCCCTGCTACCTGTGTGTGCTAATCCATTCTTTCACCCAGATTATTTGTCTTTATCATTGCTGTCTTTATAATAACAAACCACTGTTTTGTTTGAAGGTTTGTGTCATTTCCCGTTTCACATTACATGTGTTTTCTTGACAAAACATGGTTTGGAGACCAGCGTCGGGTGACACAGCTGCTGTCAGCTTGTGTAGTGTGTGACCCTCTGTCACCAATCAGTTACATAGTGTGATCGCGAGCTGTGTAGTGTGAACAGCACGGCCATTGGCCGACGCTGAAAGTTGTATAGTCTGCATGAGCCTTAAGATAAAGCTACTGGACCAGCTGGTGGTAGGCCTACTACCAGCAGTGTCTACCCTTTCTGAGGGTCTCATGTCCCTGTCTCATGCATGTTTAAATACCTCTCACCCTCAAACGGTGCCAGAGCAAGCGCCCTCAGTTTGTTTATTTGTTAAATTAGATGTTTTTAGCAACAAAAGACACAGACCTGTGAGTTGTGATCAAGTTTCGGCTAAAATGACAGTTATCACTTGGTGGCAAACCAAAGATTAGAAATCGCTGGCACTATGATCTTAGACTGACAGGAAAGCTGATTTGATGGTTGCCTAGCAACATAAAAAATATGCAGCGCACTGCTCTTTTCTAAATTCAACCAAAAAAGGCATTGCTGTGCGCCTCGCGTTTCCAAACCTGCAAAGTGTTTTCTGTCTGATCGGGTCCTTAGTCTTCTGTACAACTTCACATTCCATTCGTTATTTATGCCCTTGTTTGTTTAAAAAATAATATTATGGTTGTGGAGTCCTGTGTTTTTTTTTGTTTTGTTTTTTATTCTCATCTCTTGAATATCCTTACATTCCCTCTGTGTCTCTCCCTCTTTCTCTGCTTTGTCTTCCTCCTCAGGTCTCTTTCATTCAATATTTATCTCTTTTCTTGTTCCTTGTGTGCTTGTGTTCTCTCATTCACTATTTCTGTTCTGTCTTTTCTTTCCTGTCATTCCCTATAGCTTTAACTGATTTTAATTTCAGTCTCATCCTTGCCAGTTGCCAGAGGTGTTGCATGAATTAAAATGACGAGGTTTATACATCCTTCAGTGGTGGTGTGTATATTTGAATTGTATCAAGAACATGTTTGTCTGTAACACACCAAAGAAATTCTGTACATGCAAGAGGTGTTTAGCTGTTCAAGTAGAAGCCTCTGTTTTCACAGTGGGAAGCACTGATGGATTACCACTGAAAAGATTTCTACTAAGCTAGAACTTCACTAACATTTAGTGGAACCGAGTGATGCATAACCACTCTCAGATTGAGAAGTCTGCAAATTAAAAGTAACTGAAGAAAATGATGTTTAGTTAATCAAGCTTTTGCTGCCCCTTCTGCTTTTTTTTCTATTTTTTACAGATCCGGCACGAGGTTAGCTTTAAGACTGTGACCCATAAGATCTGCAGCGACACATGTTTCAACGTTTACCGCAGGGCCAACGGGTTGATCATGAACTGCTGCGAGCAATGTGGCGACTACTTGCCCAGTCGAGCGTCGGCCAACCACTTCCTGCTGGTCGATGGCCAACAGAAACGTTTCTGCTGCCAGAACTGCATCAGGGAGTACAAGCAGGTACTGTAGGCCCAACCTCAGGATGCAGGTGTGAAATGTGCCTGCGTGGAGCCCACGTGATGGATTAATTTATTTAATTCAACCATATCTATTTAAAATTAAAGCTGTGACAGACAGAACTCTGATTCTGAACAGTATGACCTGCAAAGTTGTGAAGGTAGACTAAGAATCTCCAAATGATAGGCAGGGTTTAATGAGACATGAATCACTCGCCTTATTTCTACCTGTAATATCACTATGCATGCACACCTCTGAAATCTCTTCTAATTATCTTAATTAAAGTTGACTGATCATGTTAGAACTAAATTGTATTACTCTAACTCTATAACTTGTTATATTGTGACAATAAACCTACCTACCTATGTTAAAAAAAAAAAAAAAGAAAAAAAAAAATGGAATAAGAGGTTGTAATTGTATTTGTTGCTTGGCAACACCAACTTATTGGACATGTCACTATATCGATATCAGTGATATCGATATCACTGATGCTCTGGAGATGGGTACCAATGATCTTCTGAGCAGTTTTAATCACCCGCTGCAGAGCCCTCCAGTCCTGGGTCCTGCATCCCATGCCAGTTTGTGATACCAGTTAGGATGCTTTCTATTGCTCCTCTGTAAGAACTGACAAGAACTTGTTGTTCTTTTGTAGGATGAAATAAGTAAAAGTGAAAATGGTGACAGGTCAACAAATATTGATGGTACATTTTATCAAGTACTGCAGGAATAGATTTCCAGAGCTGAGGCTGCTACTTCTGCTGCTGCTATGATGATGATGATGATGATAGGACAAAGATTATATACTCTTTGTCCTGTGTCCTTTTTGTGGACAGTGGGAAATGGATCACAAAGCAAACCAGCAAAACAGTACAGTACAGTACACGGGGTGATTTGTGCTCCGCTAATGCTCATATGTCATCAAGCTCTATTCAACAAAAACCAGAAACTGCATTTGATTCACAACAAACACATTAAAACCTTTTCCTTCAGTGAATCCACCAGGATTTCCCACAGTTAATAATCACGTCATTTTATTTCTCTTTGCACTTTTTATGTCCCTCCCCCATGGTGCGTGTTATGCTTGGATATTGTGTCATTATGTCTGTTGTGTGACTGTGATGAATAAAAAGTCTTGAAACTACTTGATAGAAGCCTAATTGCTAATTCTCTAGAGGTAATTTAAAAAAGCTCAATTTATTAGCTTTTGAAGCACCATGTGCATTAAAATTAATAAACATCCAAACATTATTGTTTAGTCAATTATCTTTAGCAATGACTTAATATACTCTCAGTGTCGTTGAAGAACATTAAGTCGCTTGTTGTTTTTACATGAGATTTTTCCCTCTCTGTCCCAGGCCCACAGTAAACTTGCGACCTGCCTGACTTGCAAAACATTGATTAAGACAGGCGAGGTGCTCCACAGCCTCGGAGCGGGCGGCACCATGGGCTCCTACTGCTCCGTCAACTGCATGAACAAGGGAAAGCTGACGGCAACCTCCTTCATTAGTGAGTAACCGCACTACACAAGCAAGATGGTTAACACATTCTGAATCTTTTCTGAAACAGACTTTCAAGTGTCCAGAGAGATTGACTTATTTTTTTAATGGCCTCCAGAATCTACCTTTCAGTATTTTACCATGTTACTCTCTTTTGTTTTTTTATTAAGACCACAATATGATCTCCAGATAGACTTCTGCACAGTTTCATAGGTCACATAAGATGTCCTGGAGATCTTAGCAACATAAGGTTATGTTCTCAAGGCTGCGAGTAGGCAGTTGCAGAAACATACACAAGTAACCTTTATTTCTTGGTTTGTATATTCTGATGATTGATAACTGACTTGGAAAAGCAGCAGAGAAAAGCTTCTGTTAACCTGTTTGTCATTCCTAATTATTGGTATTCATGCCAGCAAACAAAGTAGCGTTACCAAACATTGAATGAATATGTATGTCAAACAGCTGCTTCAGTCACAAGCATGTGTAAATGTACAGTATTTCATGTGAGTTTTAACACTTAATTGTGTGTGCAGACACAGAGCCCACATGTCACTTCTGTAAGAGGAACTCATTACCCCAGTACCAGGCCACACTGCCAGAGGGAAACATCCTCAACTTCTGCAGCTCACAGTGTGTTACCAAGTTCCAGGTGGGGACTCCTTTTTGTCTTTTAAAACCAGAAGACACAAATCTGAGTGCTTTTAAAAAATAAAAAAACTGATGTGTTCTCTATTATTAAGCACAATAGGTCTTTGATATAGTTGAAAACACTGTATTGTTTTGTACATCTTGTCTTAGCTGCTGTGAGGATGAATAAAGCCTACATACTAGTCTCATGTAATTAAATAGGTCAGATGATTGGATCAAACTAGACATACTGATAGTTGGTGTTTCCAATGACCCCCACCCCACCCCCAAACTCCAGTTGTGTGGAGTGGACTCCGTGTCACAATTTCTGTATAAATTAGTAGGAGATAAAATGTTATTATACTTGATGGGAATGATGGTTAAAGTTGCAAAAATAATACCCAGTCGTCCAGTATGCCGTCATCCTCTACTCACATGACACATCCTCAAGAAAACGGCAGCTCAAAACACGACAGGTTCCATCAGTGGAGTCCATGACCTGATTAGTTCTTTAGCAACATGTTGCATAAATCTGCATATTAACGAGACAACTTACTTTCTTGAAACTACCACAAGTCTAACATTATTAATGATACAGAGTTCATATAATACATAGATAAAGAGATTTGCAAGTCGATGTGTTAATTAGCTTCATTAAATACCTCTGTAGTACATCCAGGTGGTTTTGATATATAAAGATGCATTAGACACTTTAGATGTTGTTGATCACCAGCTGCAAGTCATCATGTTTTTCATTTAGTCCATCTGATGTCTTTTTATATTTGTGTTTTGTTTTTTTGTAAAGAATGCTACTCTTCAAACGGCCACCAATGGACAGACGCCCCTCTCCACTACAAACAACACCGTCCAACTGAAATGCAACTACTGTCGAGGAGCATTCAGCTTGAAGCCTGAAACACTGGAGTGGGAGGTGAGACCATCCTGAGAAGTAGTTTCCTAATTTTTAGACAGGCAGACAGTCGATGTCTCCTTCTTCCACAAATAATGCTCTGTGTCATAGTGTAGTACCATAGACAAACGAAAACTAAGTCTTCCTCTGAGCTGAAACCATTATTCAGTCGACAGAAAATTAATCTGCAATCATTTTCATTAATCATTTGTCTTCTCTTTTTTTTTTCTTTTTAAGTAAAACTGCCAAAATTTGCTGGTTCTAGCTGCTTCTCTGGGATAATACTCTTAAAGCCAGAATAGGTACAATACATTTATCTGAATGTGTGTCTTCAGGATAAGGTCTACCAGTTCTGTAGTAAGACATGCTGTGAGGACTACAAGAAGCTGCACTGCATTGTGACGTTCTGTGAGTACTGCCAAGAGGAGAAGACGCTACATGAGATGGTCAAGTTCTCCGGGGTCAAGAGACCTTTCTGCAGTGAAGGTACTGATCTCCTCTCTTCCCTTTCTCCTTCCCTCCTCGACTCGACACATTTTTGAAGTAGTAAGAGACTGATCGTATCCCACGGTAGCTGTTTTGTTTTTCTAGCTGTGTAGTGTTTAATTTTTTTTTGTTGTTATTTTCCATTTCCATATCTGAGCCTATTTCCTTCTGTTTTTTTTTTTTTTCTTCAGGTTGTAAGCTGTTATTTAAGCAGGATTTTATCAAGCGGTTGGGTCTGAAGTGTGTCAGCTGTAACCACTGCAACCAGCTCTGTAAGAGGAGTGTGACCCGGCAGCTCGGCGGCATGACCCGGGACTTCTGCAGCGAGGCCTGTTCCAAGAAGTTCAATGACTGGTACTACAAGGTCCGATCATACTCTTGTGTATATTGTTAATACATTTAAACAATTGTATTTGTACCGCAGGTATGTTTTTGTGAATGTTCTGTAACTGTCATCTTGTGGCCACTAGGCGGCGAGGTGTGACTGCTGTAAGGTGCAGGGTAACCTGACAGAGTCTGTGATGTGGAGAGCAGAGATGAAGCATTTCTGTGATCAAGAGTGTCTATTGAAGTTCTACTGCCAGCAGAACGAGCCCATCATGGTCACACAGAAAGGCCCAGAGAACAGCAGCCTGGGTAAAAGTCAGAGTGTGTGTGTTTCCTTTGAAATTACTAAGGTCTTCCTACAAATGACCCTTACCCTTCCATGTAACACAATTCTGTTTAACGGTCATTAGGGTATGAATTAATGTTATCAGAAGCGTTGTGATCAGAAAGTCTTTTTATAAAATCATGCCATGATTTCTTTATGAGGCAAAGATGTGACGTATTTCATTTTCCTCCTTTACAGGGTATGAAATGCAAGGGGCCAAACTTGGGGTAAGTAAGAATTTGGAAACAAGTCAATCATTATAATACAGATTGCTTTAAAATTATGAAACATTACTTGTTGCTTTGTATTTTTTGTGCATTTAGTACAAATGTCATTGAATTTACCACCTAATAGTTTTGAAATGTAGTGCATACTTACTTAACGTCCTTTAAAAGAAAAATGTTTCCGTATAACAAATGAACATTTTCATAAAAGCAGAAGCCACATTTCTGTTTGTTTTTTTTAATCTCTGCCATGTTGCATCTGGTGAACCAGGGCGCTGTGCCATACGCTGGTGGAGGATTGGCGAGAGACGTCAAGAACAAGGCAGTTCTCTGCAAACCGCTCACCCTGACCAAGGCTACCTACTGCAAGCCACACATGCAGAGCAAACTTTTACAGACGGGTAAACGCAGCGTCTTAAGAGTGCTACAAATTGAATGTCTTTCCCTAAACACTTTTCCTTGACCTCAATAGAAAACTTCATGAGGTCAAGTAAAGGTGTGATGGAGACAGCCACCCTGCTCAGAGAATCCCAAATGCACTTAGACTAGGATTTAAAAAAAAAAAACGTTTTTAAAACACTTTGAAGATAAGTACAGTGACAACCTCAATGCTGTATGTAATGTTTCCAAAACAGAATCACACCTCCTAAGAAAGTATGTTTTCAATTTATACTTGTGGTAAACCTTAAAGTCCCCCTCCAGCCAGTTTTAACTGCCATTTTTTGAATTTCTATAGTCATACGTCACCACCCCGTTTTAACAACTAAGCAACTTTTGCAACTTTGAGCACAAAATTAAGCTATTTGGCAAACTATGGGTAATCAAAATTGTAAGGAAATGACATATCATAGAAATGTCAAAATGGAGGGGGGCTTTAACCATCAGTTACTCACAGGAAGTAACAACAAAATAGATACTGTTTAAAAAAATTTTTTTTTTAAATAATATAAAAGCAATATACAATAGTGTAAGTTGAGCAGTGCATTCCACAATGGGGGGTGGTGATATTGTTAACTAGCAATTCAGTATGCTGCTTCTTCAAGATTACTAACTAGATAATTTAGAGAAGAAATCTCTATTTATGGATTTGGAGCTCAGCCAATCATGCAGGGACTTTCATAAATTTTGGATTGTGTGCTGTTTCTATATTTATGTGGGTCTACCGTGGTGAAACTACAATGGTGTCGCTTTACATGTTGCTGTTGCAGGGAAGTTTGGATGGCATTATCTCCTTTCCTTTTATAAAGGATGGTTCAGTGGTTCAGGACATAAGAACGGAAGCACCTTTCGTTAGCACTGAGAGAATTTGTCCAGCTCTTATCATGGCTGCCAGTTAGATACCTCTGGGTCGTTACACCCACCCACACAGGAACCTTATATGATGTAGTTAAGATACCGGATTGAATCGGAGATGGTATGAAGGTTCCAGTGAAGAGCGTATGCTCGCAGCTAAAGGTTGCTATAGCAAAGCAATGGAATTGGGACAATTTTACACGTTTGAGATTTTTTCGCCTGGTTCCAGGTACAACAGCTATGTGGAGATTTAACAAGATTCCTGCCACTTGCCCTTTCAAATCATTACTTCATGACCCATTAATATACATACTGATCTGCATATATAATGTTATGATTCTGTGTCCACAGATGTAGACGATGGTGTGAAGAGGGAGTACGTTCCTGTACCCATACCTGTGCCCGTCTTCATCCCCGTGCCCATGAATATGTATTCCCAGGTCACTCCCACTCCAGTCTCTCTGCCTGTACCGGTAAGACACGATGTTTGGTTCATGAACACACATGTTCATGCTAAAAGGCCAAAACTCATCATGTAAAGGTGTTGACATAGACAAATTAATAAAGGCCTGTGTATTAATAAATGTTACAATCCCACAACAATTAAGTGTACAAATGTAGGTCTAGAAAAATGTTGAGGAAAAAACCCAAGTAAAGTAAGGAGACAATTGCCAAAGTTGTCTGATTACTAACCAACAAAGTATATTGTGTTCCGTCCAGGTTCCAGTGCCTGTGTTCCTGCCCACCACCCTGCAGGGGGCAGAGCAGATCATCCAGACCATCAACGAATTGAAAAACAAGCTGCCCTCTGACCCTCTGGAGGCTGACCTGCTCTCCATGGCTGACATGATCGCAGAGGACCAGAAACCAGGTACGCTTTGGTTTTATTGGACCTGGTATTGAAATATCTGGACTTCCGCTTACGACCCTGATGCAATGGAGGTGAATTAAATTTTGTTTGTGGTGCCCAAACCATCAACAAACTTGTACTCAAAACATTTCATTCTAAAAACAATGTTGTTACAACATTCACAATCTTAACACAAGATCCATTTAGATTTGAAGAAGGCTGCAGCTAATGATGCCAATGAGAACTTACTTGGCTGTGTGTTTCAGATGTGAAGTCGATGAAGGTGAAGAGTGAACGTAGAGAGGAGTCGTCCTCCTCCAGCAGCAGTTCTGAGGAAGAGGCACAAGAGGAGAAGAAGAAGGTGGAGGAGGAGGAGCAGCAGGAGGAAGAGCAGCAGGGGCTGAAGGAAGAGCCAGAGGAGGAGAAGGGGGGGGCGGAGGTGGAAGACGAGGAGGAGGACAAGTACGAGCCCGACCTGGACCTGGAGGCAGACTTTCCTCAAGGTACATGTACATGTAGTTCTAGACCTGTCGATGCCAGCGAGGCAGTGCCAGTCAGGAAGAATCACTGTCATAATGTTAAAGCCATAAATAATAGTTCTGCAGTTGGTAATGACAGGCTCTGGATTTCAAGGTGTGACAGTCAAAGTCAAACATACTGACATTGTTTAAACTGAAAATAAAACATTGAATGTGTTTTTATTTTTTTTATATTAACAAAATTTAAAAAAAAGTATAATAAATAATGAAAACCACAGTTAAAAATTGTAAGTACAACAGATGCCAATCAAATCATACCAAAAATAACTGAATATAAATATTCCTGACATGAAGGAACTCTTCTATTAGATGTCAAGATTAACATTTTTTTTTTTTCTTAGGCCAAGTAACCTTTTTTATTTTTTTGGAATTTTTCAGTTTACTTAATCACTCTTAATGACCAAACCCTTTGTCTCTTGAAATTTGCAACTTCAAGACATCATTCCACATTTATTTGGTGCCTCCTAAGTTTGAAAGCAAAGTTAAAAAGATTTTGCGATGTCACGATAGCAACTATTGCACATCACAAATATAACAAATCCCTGTGAATTCAGCGCGGACCGTCTAGAATGGCATAAACGCACAGAGGATGTTAGACAAGACAAATCCCTGTAGCACAGGCGGTTTCATCCTGGTCAGTTGCAAACACTGAAAGAATCAAGGTAAGCTGGTTTAAATATGCAGGGTTAGAGCTATATATCTGAAGCAAAATTTAAACCTTTGCAGTTTTCACTTATTCCCACAATTTTATCACAAAAAAATGGCAATTATTTTAGAAATCCTGCTGCAAAATCAGGCATTTGAGGCAGCAGCAGTCACACAAAAGGCTGGTGAAATCCTGGAGGGACTGATTTGTCTCAAACGCTCACTCTGACTTCCTCTCTCTGTGTGCATTTTTCCTCCTGATTCATTCCCGTTTAGTGAAGAAGCTCTTATGTAACAGCATCTGGCTGCATGGGTTTTTAATGGATCAGTACAGTAATTGAGATTAAAATTCCTCCCTTTGGTTATTTCTGGGCCTGCTGGGGTCATCACAATCAGGCCAGAGGGTTTAAAGTTTCACGTACTGAAGTCATAACCAGACCAGGAATAAGACTTTTTTTTTTTTAAGTTTTGTTCTCATCTCTCACTATGTTCAGCTTTCATTTCTTTTGTTTATATGTATTGTTGAAAATCTCTGTTCCATTCCAGCTCTTCTGTAGGTAGCAGACAGACTATAGAGAGCCTCCCTATAGTCCCTCCCGTTCCGGTGGACCACCATGGGACCTTACATCAGGAAAAAATTATGTAACGTTACGGTAGTCGATGGCAAGGGACCACAAATTTTTTGATCCTGTTTGAATTGTGCTCTGAATTAGACATATGATGATGGTCAATTTAAAATATACATTTAAAAGTCAAAGTCACAGTTTGAACTGAGGTATAAGACTGTAAAAAATACATAATTACAAAGACCTCAAACTTAACAGTTCCTGTGACGTAACTTCTCTCAATGACTGACGTCAAAGAACTTACATGTGTGGATAATGTGATAAAAGGACTGAGTCGTTGGATAAAACACATCAGGTGAGATATATTTCTGCGTGGAACATAGCTATGTTATCTAGCTAGCAGCAACCAAGCAGTGAACGTTAGGTAGCATCCCGCGATAACATGTTGGTGACGTATATTGCGCGAGACGAGAGATGTAGTTCATTAAGATTAAGAAACTTTATTGGCACCTGAGGGAAATTTGTCTTGGGCATCAGTGCTGCATGAGGCTGCAGTAAACACCAGTAACACTTATGGACTTTACACTCAAATATATCATATAATCCACCATACATTTACATTACATTACACAAGTATCTATGACCCTGCCCGTTTCAATCATTGATTACAAGGTAAGTAGAACCTGAGTGATATGAAACCTCAGAATTATTATATTCAGTTGCACTTAAAGCAGATGACAGACACTGAAAGTACAACTGCCACAATTCTATATTAAAAAAAGAGAAACTCATATAAGATCTGGTTGATAAACATTAGTGCAAGCGATCAAACAATATTAAACTATGCTTATAAATAAAGTGCTGGAAGTGCTTCAAGCCATCTTGTTCCAAGCAAATTGTTTATTTAGGAGCGCTATGAAAGTTGGGATGAAGGACTGCTTATAGCGGTTACTTCTACATCTGCTAGCTCTAAGGAGTTTTCCTGAAGGTAAAACATCGTATTCAGAGTGCAGAATATGGGAAGGGTCCTTCAGAATTTTCTGAGCCTGGGAGACTACCATATTTTCAAAGATGGTCTGAAGGGAAGTGTAGCCTTTCTTTCCCATAACCTTCATCGCAGCTTTTATTCTTCCAATTTTTGTTTTGAACTGGATGGTAATGGTGCCAAACCAGGATGCCATTTCATATCTGATCAGACCTTCCAGCACAGCATTGTAAAATGATCATGGTCATGATTTTAGTACTCACCCCTACCAGTCTCAATCTGCGGAGATGTTGCAGTCTCTGGGCCAGTTTGTCACACAAATAGTCGACATGCACATTTCCTTTTAATTGGTTATCTAATTGTATACCCAAGTACTTGTATGAAGTTACTTGCTCAATTTCTCTGCCCCCATTGACTACATTGTTATGGGCTCTCACTTCCCTGGGATCAAATATCATCTCTTTTGTTTTCAAATTATTCAGGATGAGATTATTCCTCACGCACCAATCCTTAAAGAAGTCAATCTCCATGTAATAAGTTGAAGGGCAGTCGCCAACATGCAATAAACTTAAAATAATTGTCATCAGAGAATTTTATGACATAGTAGTTGTGCTCATTACTTCTGCACTCGTTAGTATAAAGTGTGAACAAGAGACAGCTTCTTGAGGTACCCCAGTACAACAATATTTTGTCTTAGAAGTGTAGCATTACCTTCACTTTGTTAAGAGTAAAACCATTTGATAATTAAAGGATTAATTTTCATGTCAGCAAGCCTCTGAATGAGCAAATGAGGACGGACAGTATCAAAAGCAGAACTAAAATCAGCAAATATAACACGTGCATAAGCGTCAGAGTCTTCTAAGTGCTTCCTTATTAAATGAGACACTGCAATGACTGAACGGTTTTCACACAAAACGACGAAACTTTACTGTTTTACGACAAACTGCAACTTTCTTGACGGAGAAAATTCTTTTAAATTGACAAACATCATGTGTAATTCAGGGCACACAGTTCAAACAGGATCAAAAAATAAGTTGCCTCTTGCCATTGACTACTATACATAAATTTTCTGAAATAAGTGGAAGAGGAAGCGAGTGACTTAGGCTCTCTATAAAGTGTCATGTTGAAAGGTGGAATAATTATAGTAAAGGTTATCAACAGTGTTATTGAGTAATCTTTGGTAAATAAACTGGCTAAATGTTGTCATAAACAGCATTTGTTGCCAGATAAATCAATGTGGTAACACTTTAATTTAATCCTCCTAATATTAGCATTTCGACATTTATTCATTTAGCTGACGCTTTTATCCAAAGCGACAATTGCTATACACGTCAGAGGTCGCACGCCTCTGGAGCAACTAGGGGTCAAGTGTCTTGCTCAGGGACACAATGGTGGATGTCTCACAGTGGGATTTCTAAATGATCTATAAACATTTATAACACACTGTATATAGTTAACTATATGTAAGGGTCATTTTAAGTGTAGTAATACACAGTATTTGTCAACAGTTGTAAATTTCCTTAATCTAGTGTATCCCATCATGACTGGATTAATATTTTCTCCATGTAACAAATAAGATGTTCCTGTCTCAGCCTCAGACCCTGTACCAGTCTGGAGGAAATGGACGAGGATATGGGTTTCTCTCTACCTCCACTCCTGGCAGAGGAGAAGGCAGAGCCGGAGGAGTCGACACCTCGACCACAGCCCAGGAGAAAAGTATGCACAACACATATATACATGTAAACATATATACAAGAAACTTTGTATTGGCCAAGTTAAGTTCCTTCTATAGCAATTGGTGTTTGTGTTGCAGGGGAACAAGAGGCAGGCAGTAGAGGAGAGCTCAGATCTCGCCTCGTACTCTTTTCCAGTCCGGCAGGCAGACACTCAGAAGGACGGTCGCTGCCTCTCAAAGCTCGCTATGGCATCCATGCATGGAAACGCTGGGCACTGTCTACTTCTGACAAATCAGATGACACAAAGAGAAGGACTGCTCCAAACCAGCGTAAGCAAAACCCAACTTGCTGCCATGCGAGTAGTGTAGCATGAGAGTATGTGCAGTGCTTGGCTGAAAATTAAAGCTTGATTATCATATTGAAAAATGTAGGATGTGTTTGCTAACAGCATCGGTGTCTGTTCCCATCTCCTGCAGCC